TTATGGCTATTTATTATGAATCATTTTATTGCTTGTCTCACTGCATTACCTGGCTGGAATCTCTGTTGAGCTTCATGCTGAGAGATAGCCCATGACCTTGGGATGCTTCCCAGTCCAGCCAGGCACAGAGTGCCTCTGGTGGAGACATGCAAACCCTGGGACTGCTTCTGTGGTGCTCAGACAGGGCAGTGGGGTCTAGGCAGGAGTCCCAGCTCAGTCCAAGAGCACACAAACAGTGTTCTCATGTCCCTCATGTCTCTACTTCAAAGGAGAAGATGGCCCAGACTGATACCTTTCAGAATCAAATAAGGGAAAAAGAATGGAGCCTGCTACTCCTGTTATAAGCCTCATCATCATCCCCAGAGAACTATTCCCTCATTTACTTGTTAGGGACAGCTCCAGGTCTGTCTCTGCAGTAAGCATAAAGGAAAAACAAAAATAAAACTGTTGGACATCAGCAAATAATGTCTCCTTTTCTGGCCACACCTCATTTAAAGGAGCAGTATCTCTCAAGAAAACTGCAAAACATTACAGACATCAGGAGAAGCAAAGAAAAGTCATTTCTACCTTTTAGTGACAGAGTGGATTGCCTGAGACTCCGTTTCTCATTCTTCTGAGGTAGGATTTATTTTATTCACCCCAAGGGCAAGGGCACAGCACAGCCACATGCAGCAAGAGAGTTACTGGATGTTGAGCTCTGACAGGATTTCTACAGTGTCTGTTTCTACAGCCTGTTTTCCCCATCCCAAACAGTGATTCCTGAATGTCCTGAAATAAAAAATCTGCACCCATGCCTACATGACAAAAGTTGCCTTCTGTGCCTTCTTTCTCAGTTGATTTCCACCCTGGCCTTTACAGACTTGGAACTTTAATCTCTCCTTTAAGCCTTGTGGAGTGTCAAGTACTGCCTCACAGGAATTTCCTCAGCTGAAGCACTTCTAAGATTAAAACACAAATACTTAAGAAAGAAAAACAAAGAGGTCCTAACAAATACCAAAATACAGCACAGAATCATTCAGGTATTACTGAAATATATGCAAATAAAGCAAGTAAATGTGTCCAGTTGACTGAAGTGGCCTGTTGGTTACACAACCTTTAAAACAAGGACCGGGCTGAGGATTTCAAAGTGTTTGTTACTCCGAGTCACAAGTGTATCAGACTCTCTGGACAAAGGAGATCACTATCTTCCCTTCTTCTTCATTCCATTGATTGAATGGAATTCAATACATGTTCTTAAATTCCTATACATGTTCTTAAATGGTACAAAATAACAGCAATTGGATCTGGTTTGCAGGGAGAGCACCAATGCCCCATAATTCTCATTGCTGTCTCTCTCCTGTCAAGTACATTATTTCAGCTTTGCTGTTATGCTGTCTTCTGTTTCTATTTATGTGACTTCTTTTTTTTCTCGCCTAAATCACTTCCTGCATTGATCCAGACATTTGGATATATAAATGAAAGGCCTCAGACACAGAAATAAACACAAAATATATTACGATATTTTATTGTTTGTGCAGAATATTAAAAGAAAAAAGTCCTCTTCAAGAGAGCATGAAATTTGCAAACCCCTTCTGTCTCCATCTTTTAGCTGACTGATTAGGGTTCCCAGAGGATATCAGGAAAGGCAAGGCTGGGTACTGGAAGTCTGCCATCCTTGAAGTTAGGCTTTGCATGTGTCAGATCCTTGTGGCTGGGACAGAGAGCACTTAGTAACCAAACTGTAGCTCGTGGATCAACCACAAAGTTGCTGAAAATGCTGAAAATGTTTTGATCACAAGGATCATCTGAACTTCTCTTTACTTCCAACTTCTAGATCTCATTGAAACTAGAAATAACATTATTTATTAAATGCCTACATTATATTGATTATCTATAATAGCAATACTTTGAGGTTTTAATACCAAAAAGACTAAAACCATTCACATTGCAATTTGCCTGCAGTTCAAAATTTAGACATGAAAGTGTATGCTGGAAACACACATGTGAGCGTAGGAATGTAAGCATGCATGCATAGGTGAAGAACTAAAGGCTGACAGACAAGCAGAGAGATAAGCAGTTGAGAACATACTCTGCACATGTTTTCAAATAGATCTGACACCAGTTCAGGCTATAAATTCCTTCATGCACATGGACGTGAATTATTTTCTTAGTGATCAGCATCTTTTTTTAATTGGAAATGTACATTATGAGGTTAGACTGGCTAAAAAGATCTCAGCAATTTTTGTGAAGGAGTCAGTCTTTCCTGATTAAAAACCTTACCTATTGAAACTTTATCTACTGGTTTCAGCCACTGACCCAAATCGACCTGAGCTCTCTGTCTGATGTGTCTTAAATTTTGGAAGAGGCTAAAAAGAAGTCAATATAGCAGCTTTCTTTATTTCTGCTCTGAAAAAAAAATAAGCAGCATGTAGTGCCATTACAGTGCTTGCACTATATGATGCTGATAAAATGCTGCACTTGTTAGTCCCTCTCTGAGCAGGACAGCCAGCCTCATTTTGTGCAAAGTGTGTCATCAGCATCACAGTGTGCCTGGCTGTGCCCATGCCTCCCACAAGGTTCATGGCAAGGATCTCATGCTGTTTCCATCTTCTCACATGCCGGAACTTCCACCTGGACAGTGGGTTTCCTGCAGAAAATGAAATACACATTTCCCAGACACCCTGTTGCAAAGTCAACCGGGACAAGACTGATCACTGTGTCCAGTCTGGGGAATGCAAGTCCAATCCATTCTCAGCCACAGTGCCCAGGTAAGGAATGAGGTGGCTTGCTTGACTATAAACCCCAATCTAAAATAGATGCCACCTCCCACTTTTAGGATCAGTGCTCCTTCATGACATGAGGGTGGAACTGCGTTTGCATTTGTTGCACACCATTATTGCGAGCATTGCATGGCTGAGGTTTCTGTGGCTCTTGCTTTTCAGTGGAATAATTCCTTAAGCCACTGTTGAGATTGAAGATTGTTCACTGTATCTCTATACAGCAAGTAATGTAGCCTTTCAAAAGGTAACAGCACTGTTCAATGTAAAGATTTCTTTACTTCATTTGTATGAGCTCTCCCTGAGCTGCAGCTGCCACATCTGCTGTGCTTACAACATACTTTTTCACTTCCTGTGGTGAATCTGAAGATCTGCAGAGGCGGTAATCACACCATAAGGACACACACATCCACCTGCCCTATGTAAGTAATTCCCAAATTCAGATGCATTTCCTGACTGCAGGAATCTTTGTTCTGAGTTCAGCTCTATGTCCACATCCACAGAGCATTTTGTGGTGAAGAAAAGTCTAGAGTAAAGTTATCACCCCAGACCCATCGGATTTATTTTTATTACAGCTTATACAGAGCCACTGATCTGTCAGGCATCCCTCTTCTGAGACGAGGAGAGAATAGGGATGGCACATGTTCATAGGTCTTTACAGCAACAGACCCTAAGCAGCAAAAAATCTGGACTAGAAATAACTCCTGCTTTCTAGCAAGTGTCTCAGGGACAAACATGAAAGTTGAATGATCAGTTTCCACTTTTCATGGTGTGTCTACAGCAAGAAGAAAAGCAGAAACCTTCATCACACACATGTATGTAGTGAGAGCAGAGGTCAGCTCTGGCACTTTATGTGGTTTCAAAACTGCAGAAGCAGTTCCTCAAGACCTATTCTACTTGGCAAGCAATATATTTTTTCTGCATGAAATAAAACCAGATACAAAGATGGGACTTGTAGTTGCTGCACAAGAGAAACAGTGGTTTCATTATTCGGGGTTGATCAAGATCCACTCACCTGGAGTTCTGACTAACCTTCAGACAGGTTTTCCCCATCCTGACTAGAAAAATGAAACATCAAAAATCACTCCTGAAATGATCTTCTCACAAGATTCCCAACCCATCTGTGCAAACTCTAGTAGTTGGATGATTCAAATAAAGGTCAGCTGAGTATTCAACTCAAATCAAGGAGTCTTGCCCCACCACTATCATCCAGCATTGACCAGTCAGTGATCACATCAAATTAATTACACTACAGTAGTGGTATTTGCAAGTGGAGCAGTAAAAATCAGGGTTCAATGGGAAACAATAGGAACTTTCACTCTGAGCAACATGCACATAAACCCTGACTATTTTGGACAAATTTTCTTGGAGGTTTTGCGACTGGTTTGAATTATTTTTTAATTTTTATTTTAGAAAATACTTTCTCAACTTACCGAAAAAATAAAATATTTTTAATTCATTTTTCAGTAAACTCTAGATTCAAGTATGTTATTAGAATGGAATTAGGCAATACAAAAGAAATCTGTACTGTGCTCATTTCAGAAATGTAAAGTGATAAAGATTAAAAAAGCGCAATTTTCTTAAGTGGAGAACTTGAATGATTAGCAAAAAGGAACCACTACATCACTGCAGTTGATAGAAGACACTAAACCTCTGTGCAGCTTCTAGATGTTCAGATGCTTTCTTCAGTTGCAGAACAGTCTTCAAATATGGATTAAAAATGTTCATTCCAAATTAACTAAGAAGGGATTATGAACAACCCATTCCTCTTCAGACTGCCTCAACCTGTTCAGCAATATGTAGCACAGAAAGAATCTCATGCAGATCTCCGAGCTTTGGCATGTTCCCTAGTAACTGTCTGTACCAGGTGCTCTCACATCACCCAAGGTAGAAGAGTTTCAAGGGAAAGAAACTCTCAGCTTGACTATTTTCCTGGAAACACAAACTTCTATTTGCACTTTTACCAAAGATGAACAAAAAAAAGAAATTGCATCCCACATTGAACTGAAAACAACCCATGATTTCTGCCTGAATTTCTTTAGCTCCATCTGATTTGTGTCTTGATAATATTATGAAGTCTTTTTGATTTTATATATCCATGGTATCTTTCATCCCAGAACCTGTTGTTGTGTGCTCTGAAGGATCAGCCAACAGTGATAGCCATAGTGCCTCATTCTTCAAGGAACAGCACAGACATACCCCTCCAGGATTTTCCTTGAAGAAGTTGCAGCTGGACATTCCTGGTGCATATGATTCGTCAAGTAGACAGAGGTATCTAGAGAAATAAACAAAAATGTGGATATTTCACAAATATTTAAGAAAAAAATATCTCTTTTGACATTGTTTTGACAGATTTCATTCTGTTTTGCAAACAGGAGATTTGAGGTTGGGGGAAACTTGAAATTTGCCTTTTGTTCTTCCAGCTCTTACAGAACCAAAGAAAACAAATGTAGGGATGGCTCTGTGATCCAGGAAGGGCTAAGATGTAAACATCCACAGGTTCTGAAAGTGAAATATATTCTAGCTTGTCCACGGCCTGGAAAATAAACATATTTGACTACAGTAGTGCTCAGCAGCTGGTTGTTGGATTAGAGCTGCACAGCTGGAAGCCTACAGTTAAAAAAAGTGTTACCTAGAACACAGTGGTAAACAGTGCTACAAATATCTGAGTAGCTGAAAGGTCAAGAAGGAAATACAGGAACAATGAGAGACAATAAAAATGTTAACTTGGTTTTTTACTTTGTTAAGTCAGGTAGGAAAGTTTGAACCAGACCTTTGGGTTATTCCTTGCTATAAAGCACAGCCACAGTGAATGAAGGAGTTCTCAGCTTTAGATGCACAATGCGTATGAGAAAAATGCCTTCTGAGATGCTGAGAAAAAGCAATACTTTTCTATACAGAGTTCCTCCTGAGGAATCCTCCAGAATTGGTCCAGTGCATTTGTCTCTGCTTAGGGTTGGATTCAGCCCACCTAGCTTTGAGTCTCAAAACCATAGCTAAGTTATTTAGTTATCTGTACAACTACTGCAGACAATGAAGGCTGCTAGATATATTCCCAGAAGAATAGTTAATTTCACTGGTCTTAGCCGTTTATCTCTGTCCAAAAAACTCACAAGATGATTTTGAGAGCCATCAGTATCATCAAGTGCTCAATATCTATTTGAGGGCATGGGAATGTCAAATATTCCCTAGGCCATGCCTTGATGCCCAGTACAGTCCATGTGAGCAGGCTTGAGGGAAACAGAAGGTTTGCTGCAGAGTGAGTGTGAAGTCTAAGAAAACTACTATGACAGGTATTCAGAGCTGTGTATGAGTGTTTACAGTGATTTTTCTGTAAGCCTAAATAGCATTTCTTGTACAAATTACAAGTGGCAATCTACACAAAGAGATCAGGTTGTTTGTGTTGTCTCCAAAAGAGAGTTAAAAGCACTAACCACCTCTCTCTTCCAATACAAAACCAGAAAAAGCACAGATTTTTTTCTTTGATTTGTTGATTTGTTTGGCTTTTTCAAATGAAAAGATCAGGAAAAGGTACTATAAGAAAACTGTACAAGAACTAACACATCAACATTATGGAAATATATAAAAGTGAAGGCACATTGTAGTAACTGCATCCTTTTAAAGACTGTATTTGTAAAACCCATTCAATTATTTCAGTAACTAAACTGTAGAAGCATCCAGTACACTATATTCAGCTTTATGCACTTGTGGAAAATTCCTTTGGAATGTTATAAGAGTGAAGCCCAAATAGTGCAATAGAAATTTTATCCAACATCCTTCCTATACAATTATATAAATTGATTTTTGAATTCTGTAGGAATACTATCACTCTATTAAAATCTATCATATTTTTTCCAAAGGCTATGTTCCAAAGTGCTTATAGCAAATATTCTCACTTTCCCCTGCAGCAAAAAAGTCTCCAGTAAAACCTGTGACCTTCTATATATCCATTTGCTAATAATTGATTGATACTAGAGAAGAGAGAACTTTCCTTTTCTTTGGAATGGTATTTGGAAAGAGACCCCCTGCAATCCATCCAACAGGGTTCAGCGATGTGAGAAAGGAGACTACTAACACATCAGTATTCTGCAATATTGGAAGGGAGACCCCCTTTTGCACTGAATTAATGCCTGGAAAATCTGCTCCCCTCATGCTTTTTCCATGTGATTTGCTGGAGCTCATTCTTGCTCCATTGCTGGGAAGGCCAGGACATATCCCCTGGCAGTTTTTAAAACTTTTATAAACTGGAAAGTATTTTGCTGGCTTGAACTTTGCTTGCATAGAACCTGTGAAAGATGCTGCTGTTATTGTTGGGGTGTTAGTTTAGTCATGTCATTCATTTCTGTTAAATAGGCTGGTTTGATTTTTTTTTAAAGTTTTGCTGTTTATCTCAGGATGTCAATTAATTAATTTCCCAATTACTTACTTGTGTTTCATCCCTTTGGTTCATTCCTGTATGTGCAGAAACTTACTGGGGAGGAAAGGGGAAAAATGTGTTGTTCTACCTTGGTTTCCAATTTGTTATTTTAGTCTAGGTGAGAAGGCAAATCTACAGTGATTCAAATACCTTCAAGGTGAGAGAGAGAGAAGGGTGTTCTGGTGCCAAGAGAGCAAAACTTTTTGCTGAGCAGAGTCTAGTTTGTGTCTTAACAGCTGCATTTTCAGCATCCTTGAAATCTGAGGAAGCCATGTATGGGGATCCTCAATGTTTCAGGTAAAAAACCCCAAAACAGCTGGTTTTCTGATTAGAAATTGCACATATTAAATGTTATTCCAGTGGCACATCATGGTGTTTTTTCTAAGGTGATGAGCTGGGCCTCCCTGAAGTCCTATTGGCCGAAATATTTACTTGAAATCCTAGAAATGTGTGTTTGTTTGTTTGCATGTGTGTGTGTGTCTACAGTTGAAGATGAGGCATATTTAACTATCCTTCCATTTTGTGTAAAAATCATGTAAAGATATGAAAATGGGAATAAAGTTGAGATTTAAAGTCATTTACCATTTAGTGCACTGAAACATTTGCCAACAATTCATTCACTTACTTACTTGGCTCTTTGGCTACAAAATTCACTGTGGAAGGACCTAAACAAAGAACTTCATGGAAATGGGAGACTGAGTAAAGACTATATTCCTGTGCTTCTGAGGAAATATATCTTAAGTAAAGTGAACATAATATTTAGTGTGCCTGGAATGGAGTTTTAAGCTACAGTTTTAAGCTGGTTATTTGTGTACTTTGAACTCTATACTGGAAATAATACCAATTGCTGGTTTGAGTAAGACTAAATCCTGGGATGGCTTTTGTCTCAATGTTTCATTCTTTTAATTAAGAGAAAGTCATCACATCTGAAAACAATCACAGTGGAAAACTATTTGGGAAGCATAAGCAAGTCTCCTTCAATCAGACCTAAAGTTTACTGAAAGTCATAAAGGACTAGGAAAACATCAGTTTGGGTGTTTCTATCTATCTTCCTGCTTATATTGTTACCATATATGCACCATTTCACTGCAGATACACAGAATGTGCTATGATATACCATGGCTAGTTCCTACCATCAGCATGAATAAAGACTTGAACGTAGAAAAAAGCAATCAAATGTAACACACATTTATCTGTGCTGCAAATTAACTTAAAACTCAGCTAAGGAAGCATCCCTGGGACCTCATCAGGTCATTACACAGAAGAGCAAACAGGTCAGTGCAATCCTGATCCCAAGGCATACCTTGGTCCATGTCAGACTGGAAATACGAATCTGCTCATGAGCAACTCCAATCTGATTGTGAACTACTCCATGGTCTTCTGCTGCCTCTTCAAAGCATGCAGCAAGTTGTTCCCAAGGCTCCATATTGAGGAAGTGCTCTCCCACTGTCCTCCATCAGCTGTTGTCCAACACAAGGGTGCAATATGTGCTCGGTATCGGAGAAAGCAAAGTACCTCAGGAATGATACATATAAGAAGAACCTTTAGAAAGGTCATTTTAATGTGTGTCAAAACAAAATGCCTGAAAGGGCCATGGCTTGGGTGAAAAGAGATTTCAACTGTATTCTTCAAATGTGGCATTTCAAGAGTCCTGGACCTGAGTTATATGATTCTGATCTCATAAAACCATAGAAAAAGTAGAGTGAATCATGGTGAAATATTTTCAGGCCTGGCCTGAAATAGCCCAGATGAGGGCCAGTGTAGCTGGAATGCATCTCAACAGGGTTTTTTTTCCTCCTCAAAATGCGCATATGCGCTCAGCTCTGTATATAGCACATGGATGGCAAACCCACAATGCATGGTCAGATAGGCAAGAATACTGGGATGTCTGTGAGGAGAGAAAGGAATTGGCTGAATTTCTGTAGGTGTAAACAGACCTTGCTAAGCAACATAAAGTAACTAATGAGCCATAGTTCGGTGAGAATCACTGGCAAAATGGCATTACCTCTGACTTCATTTTTGTTATGAGATTATAGAAAATAAATAAACTTGTGTACTTCAATTTCAGTACCTTTGCTCTGGGCAGAAATTAACCCTTTTGCTGCTCTATGGGCTTTGCTCCCACACAGTGCTCACTCATTTTTTATCCTGTCTAAAACCTAGCACAGTGCTCCTGGACAACTTTCTCATAACGTTGAAAGGAGAGCAGAAATTCAGGTCGACAGGGAGAACAGAGTTCAGTATTTCCCCCAAAATATGTTGCAGAGTTAGTGCCATAGTTGTTTTTACTTTTGGTTTTTGACACACAGTGAGGAATAGAGGATAAGTCTTGAACTGTTCCTTTCATTAGGAACAACCCTGTGAGTTGGAGATACAGCATACTGTCTTAAAATGGTGCATGCATGCTTATTGGTAGTAAAATGATCTGTGCTTCAAAATAAGTTTATTTATTTCTTGCATAGAAAACTGCACAATATACAGCACTCCCTGATGTTGGCACATGGGCTCTGGCAGACCACCCGCATGTTCTCTGTGATATGTCATCCACAGGACAGAAGTAAAGCCCTGCTGAGATCTGAGGCTATTGATGCACTTCTCAGAGATCATTTTGTGGAGAACGACTAGATTGTCAGCCAGAAAAAAGGCAAATCACATCTTCACTAGCATAATTCTGAATAACAGAACAAATTCCGCAAGGACAAGTTTTATTTTTCACAGAAACAAGTAAACCCAGCAGCATGTACCTAGTATTTAACAATTCCTTAAAATAACCCTATCATTAAGAGGTGGCAAATACAGCCTGGTTCTCAGTGGTTTTTTCCTAGTTCTGACCAAAAATGTCCCTGTGGGTATGCTGCACAGAGACCAAAATCCACGAAGTGCCTGTAAATTGTTAAAACAGTAGAAACAGTTAGTGCCAGCTAACACAGCAAAATTTTTAAAATAACAGCACTTCATGAAAATATGTTGTAAGTAGCTTTAAAAACTCTGATCCTCTTCTGTTGTCAAGAAACCTGTAAAAATGAAATTTACTTTTCAGATACCCAGCATAAGAAAAGAGTAACACAGATGATATTAGTGTCTCATCTGTGCTAGAAAAAAAGAGAAGACACCACGAGCAGAGATCTGGTATCCCACCGCAACCCAATTAAATCCCAGTCCAAGGGATATTACAAACTTACCATTCTCCTATGAAGGGCACTGCACAAAAAAGGAGCCCAAAGCAGATATGATATGAGCCTATACTGTACCCTTGGCATCATGGATTGCAACACCCAATTTAAATTTGCATTTCTTCGACACCAGAGGAATGTGTTCTGCAGGAACTCCAAAAAACACTCTTGAATACTCAAAAGTGCTTTGCACTAAGGCAAAACTAATCCAGACCCAAAGCTTCATAGCAAGTCTAATGCCTCCCAGTCTCGTAAAACACTCACCTTCAAATCTGTGCACAACCTCTTCTGAAGGGCTTGAAGCACTGGCCATACCAAAACCACATCTTTTCTAACTCCCCATGAGATTCTGCATCCCTTTCTTCTGACTTTGCCCTTACAAGTAACCACAACCTCAGGTATTAGAACAGACTCTTATTACCATTCACCTCCCAAATCCAATTAGCATAGCTTATCCAGGTGAAAACCCCAGACCTGCAATTTCCCCGTAAGTCTAAATTAGCTGTCAGGCACAAGTTTGGCATTTGATTTTCCGTTTAAAAGAAACTAATAGCGCCGATTCAGCAATTGCCCAACACTCAATAAATACTCTACTGCTTGATTTACCTTTAAATTGAGTCTAGTTATGATGCAATTGACCTGCAAAATGCCCATCCCAAGGGAACCTTCTGAGTTTGAAACACTAGCTAACACTCGATTCAAGCAAAATTTTTGGATGTCTCTGAACATCTAACTGACTCCCTCCACTCTGTCATTTTAAGAAATTACCACCTGTATACCTGAATCAACATTTTCAGACCCACCAGCCTAGATAGAAATGTTTAATCGTGGCAAGAAAGAACCTTTGGGACTTTTTCTGCTCTCCTGCAGAATTGCAGAAGATGCAAGTGGCCTTGTAACTTCTCCTGTATGACAAAAAGATTAAAATGGATAGAGGTGGCTCACAACTCCATTTTCTGTCTTACCCACTGAGTTGGAATATTCTGCAGACATGGAGTTAAATGTTGGTGATGAATGTCACCAGCATACTGTGGTAGTTTGGCCTAGGCCTTCCTTGGTGACCAGCTTGTAACCAAGGAAGTGCCCAGATTTACCCGGTATTCCCTACGATTTTTACGTAAGCTGGGGTATAAGAAGAAGGGAGGAAAGACCTTCGCCCTCTTTCCTTCCGGCGGCTTTGGAGGTGCAGATCTCCCTGTGTTGAGTCTGTCGGCTTGGAGAGTGAGGCCTGGTAAGGCCTTGTCGACCTTGGGAGGCGAAGGCTGCCGGCAGTCACCAGTCACCCCGGCGTGACTCTCCATTGTCCCAAGGAGAGTAGTAAGATTCTCTGCTAATTCTTTTAGTTGATAGACCTTGGGCTACTGATCGGGATAATATATATATATATATATATAATTTTGGTTTTTGTTCTTCCCTTCCCCTTTCCCTTTTCCCTGTGAAATTGTATATATATTTCAACTGTACATAAGTGTAAATATATTTATATATATATTGCTTTGTCTCTCTCTCGTTTTCGGTTCTTTTGGGTTTTTTCCCCTCTTCTCCCTCAGTTTGGGGGGGGGGGGGAGACTCCTTGTGGTAAGGTTTGGAGACTTGGCAGGGAGCCAGCTCCAAACCATAACACATACAGATCCTTGTCTTCTCAAATATAACTGCATTCTGTTAATGAAAACCAACAGCTGAGGAGCCAAGGATGTGGGAGCAGACATAAGTCCTCTTGCTTGAAACTTTGTTACTAATCTACCACTTCTACTATAATTTACAGAAGAATGAAGAACAAATTTGAGATGGTTGTTTAAGGTTTTTCCAGAGTTCACTAACTACCTCCTAGAAAGGATCTGTGTGAAGGGATATGGCCAAGCACCTTTCCCATCAACATAGGGTTAGGTTGGATTTAAAGGCATTCAGGTCCTGTGGCTCTGTTGTGGAGGAGGTCCTTTTCCTCCATTCTTGTCACTTTATTTATTCTCAGTACTGTCAAAGACACCCCTATTTGGGGAAATCATGAAATGAAGAATCCACAGATTCCCTTGATATTTTTATTTGTGTAGTTCTAAAAACACATAACTACAAATTCTTGTTATCTTTTCTTGTGTGGATTAAATAAAAATTTAGTATTTGCTTTGTCCCAGACTTGAAGGTATTCAAATAGAGCAATCAAGACCCATCTTCTTTTTGATAATCTAAACAGTTAAAGCAGCTTAAATACTGCAATATGAATCATTTCTCCATCTCTTCAACTGTTTCTGGTACTCTTTTTTACATTCACTCTCTAATTTTTTCATCTTTCATGATGACTGGTTGACAGCAGCACTGATCTTCAGTGTCTGATGAGTTCAAAATAAAATCACTCTGCTACTCTCCTAAGTCTCCTCAGCTGTATTCCAGTTTCATGTTGCAGATTAATCATTAGCTATAAGTCTACTATGACTCCTTTTCCAGCTGCTGTGTTCTCACTTTTGTATAGGACTTCCACTGGCAAATTTTATCTATTTTACATTTTCTCCTCCATCTTATAGATCCATTGAAGATTGCCAGCACAACAATGGCTGTGAGATGATTAATTTGATAATAATTCTTCAGTGATGATTACTCTTTCATTATGTTATGAGATTCATCTCACACAAAATCCTTAATCCATTTAAAATGTGTTGCTACTGTGCAGTGCTAATTTCAAATACCATGCCATATTAAGCAATAGCTTTACAAATTCTAAAAAGACTCCATTATGCAGTACATCAAAGATGTTATAACTTTTGTTTCACCATGATTTTTCATGCATTATGCTGTCAGAACTTATAGCCTTGGTTTTAAACCATCATGTGACTTCTGTATCAATGTAACCATTATTTTACCCAAGACCTAATTCATATAAAGTATTTTTTTTTATCTGAACAGTGTAGTATTTTTCTTAAATATTGGCAGAACATTAGCATACTCCAGTTTTCTGGAGCGTTCTCAGTTTCCAAGGACTTATTTAAAATCAGTATCAGAATGCCAAAGATATTCTCAGCTTTAGAATTTCTGGACTTAAGTTACCTGTGTGTGATGATATTAGAATACAATAAAAATATATTGACTTCTGTCTATTTTCTCCTTTTACAATTTCAGTTGATTGCATTTTTCCTTTTTAATCCATTCTCTGAGTTTGCCACTGTATCACGGGTTTGGGCCAGAGACATCCTTCTTTTTCTGATGGTGCAAGTAAGTAATGTAGTCAACACAAATCCCTTCAGGGACTAGAAGCATCTCATTTCTAAAAGTACTCTCCTACTCCGCATCCCGTAGGGGAGCTGTGTATAGGACACAACAGAGAGCATATTCCATTGTTTTAATGATGTTAAGGGTACATTTACCTGTTCAAAGTTAAGGTGTATTAGGATGGAAAAGTTCCATTTTTACTTCTTGCCCTGTTAACACTGAGGCTTTTTGTACATAATTGTCAGTACAATTTTTCAGTGTGGCCCACTTGATATATAGGTATTAAATGAGTGGTGTACTCATTGCAGGTCTTATATTTGCCTGGTTGAACTGGTTTTTGTTGAGAACTTCATAGAAAGGAGGATCATTTCTTTTCAGCTCTGAAATTCTAAGTCTAATATTGATAGGAAACCATGGCGCTGAGGATCAGAGTCCCAGTCAACTTATTTTATTTATATTTTCCTTTATTATTTTTAAATGCAACATAATATTTTAAGTAACATCTGTCTGTTTTTTGAGCCTAATTTGCTGTTGATTTATATAGTATGTCTCATCCAAGAGCATCCATTAAATAGAACTTGATTCATAATTCAGATCCCTAAAAATAATAATTTTTATCAATATTATTTGATTATTTTATTATTCTGATTATTTTGATTATTCTGATTAAAAGATGCTGCGCCATATAGAACTCAGCTTGTGAGATCAGCATATGTCTTCAGTCACAAAAGGAAAACAATAAAACCCAACCTCCTTGTGAAGGCAAACATGCATTTTCAACTGATTGTCAGCATAAGGAGAAAGAGCAAAATGGAATGGAAAGAAACTTTTCAAAGAGAAGGGAATCATCGCAAATGTGCATTATAGAGAAATCCACTAATGAAAACCAACTGTGTCCCTGTAAAGAAACAGCTAGCTGCTCCAAGGGAATACAACAGCACATATGCTGAGGGAGCTGAGTAACAAGGTTGTCTGGAAGGGCTTAAAAAATCCAAGAAGGAAACAAACAAAGATGAAAAAGTGATAAAAGATGGGGGAAATTGTTCACACTGTAAACTAATGTGTTTCAGAACATTATTTGCAAAGCATAATGGTGAGGGTGGTGATGACCACAGTAAAGGACACGTCATACTAAAGGGGTCTCTGGTGCCCTTTCCCTTGAGTGTCTCCATTTGAGCCTGGAATGGTCCCTCTCAGCCATGAAGAAAATTAATGCCATCTTCTTCTAACTTCAAAACT